CAAATAAAAGTTTGTCTCCTCTTATCCACTTAAGTGTCTACTTAGCGGGTATTCATGAATTTTATAAATATCTACAGGTATCTATGGATATTTATGAAATATTTTAGAAATAAAAAAATATTATAAATAATTTTAAACTTATATTTAATATTAAATACAGTGAAATATTACATATAGATAATTAGTTTTTGAGCTTGCAATTAATGATAATTTTTATATTAATTTTTGAATTTGTAATTAAAGATAAATTTTTTAAAAAAATTTAAATAATATAAAAGTGTAAGATAAAAATATGAATATTTAAGTAATATATTTTAGCAATTACATGTAAGTATGAATATTATCATAACCGCCTTATTTATAAATGGTAAAAAAAAAATACTTGTATTCATTATTATAGGTATCCATTTATTATTCATGATGTATTTTATTCGTGGATATTAATGAGTACGGGTAATTTTGTAATCCTCATTCATACAGAGATAATATTTAATTTAAGACCTTTAAGTTTGAAGATCAAAAATAACATCAAACCACCAATTAAACCACCAATTGATCTATAAAATATTATTAATTTTTAAACACTTTTATTAAATAAAATATAGAGACACAAAATATCTTGATGTAATAATAATAATAAAATAAAAGTTAGTTTGTTACTCTTTTAACCTTTAATCGGTGGAATGTTCCATGTTTTATTTTTTTAAGTATAAAATATTAACAAATTATCGGATTTTAAGGAGGTGGCCGCCCGTGTTTAGCTACACCGAGTTGACTAGGTCAGTTCATGAAAATAGTTATCTTAAACAAATGGAAAGCTCGAGCAGTCTTTTTAAGAGATTTTTTCTTGAAGTGTTTTCAGATTTTTTTTACTTTTCACATATAAACTGAATTTCAATATTTTTAAAAAAGTAATTAAAAATAATTTTGTGTAACAATAAATTGTATCACAAAAACTAAAATATTAACTTTTAATAATTTTGAAATCACAATTATGAATTAAGAAATATAAATTACATTACATATTATTCCCATCTCTTAGGTTAAAATATATAATATAATCTATTTAATTTAATGGCGTCAATATAAATTACATTTATTTTTTTGAGAGATGTACATATTATATATTCCATTTTTAACGATAAAATATAAAATAAATCACGCTTTTATTCTTAAAAATATAAAATTATATTATCATTTTTTATTATATTAATTTAAGATATTTAACTTAATATCGTTAAAGAATGATTGTTATAAAATTTTAGAATATACTTTTATTATAAATTAACACACATACTATATATATAAGTATTAAAATTTTAATAGTTATATCTTATTTAATAATAGTTTTAATATAAATATATTTATTTAAACATTATATAATTAATTTACATATTTGAACATTATATTATCTAAATATGATAAATAATACTTTATCATAAATTTTTTAGGATTTATGATTTATAGTTTAGGATTTAAAATTAATTTATTTTGTATATTTTCAAAATATTTTATTAGTAGTATCAATTAAATAATACCTTAATACTTCCATATTATCTTTAATATATATAATTAATACTAAATAATGAAAATATAATCTTATTTAACTATTTATAAAATATTACAATAACCATATTAATTAAATACTATTTTAATATTTGTATTTGATTTTACTTATATATGTGTATATATATTATTTTATTTTGATATATAACTTTAAAAATATTCTTTAAAGATAATAGAGAAAAATATTTTTTTTAATATATAATTAATTTTATAAAATTTATAATAATTTTTAAAATAATAATTAAATATGTAAATCAATAGATTAATTGTTGAAGTATAACATATTTGAATTTGTTAAGGGAAAAATGTTTATTTTAGCACAAGAAGGAGAGTGGTGTAATATTTGCATTTTTGTAATAATCTTTTAAAATTTATAATAATTTTTAAAATAACAATTAAATATAAATCAATAAATAAATTATTAAATTATAACGTATTTAAATTTATTAAGGAAAAAAAATTGTCTATTTTAACACCAAGAGGAGAGTGATGTAATATTTAAATCTCTAAAAATATGTTATTAATAACTCTTTTGTAACAAAAGTTAACAAAATTTTAATAAAAAAATAAATAAATAAAAAAAGATAAAATATCATATATTTTAATTTGTCAAAAAAAGATAGTGTAATTTTTACCATAAAAGAATAGAACGATCTAATATTCACACTCTCAAGGAGAGTGTAATATATTATAAATTTTAGTAATATAAAATAAATATTTATCATGTAGTTTACAAAATTAAATTATTAGTTTTAATATTTTTGAAAGAACAACTATGAATTAAGAAAAACATGAAATATAAATTAAACTTTGTAATTGAGCATACTTTATATCGTCCCATCTTAAGTTTTTATCTTATCCTTTAATTATACACACAATAATTACAGTAAAAACTCTTTAAATTAATAATGTCAGGACCCGAAAAATTTATTAATTTAGAGAGTTACTATGTGTATTTTCTTCCTCATTGTCGCAACCCAAAAATTTCTGATCCTGCAATCTATGGTTTAGACATCCTTTTAAAGATCTCATCAATTAAGGAATACCCAGACACCAGACTAATCCTTAATTAATGGTTTTGAAAAATGAGTTCATGGAGTCGCCACCAATGTTTTACTCAAAACATTGGAAGGTATTAGACATTGTTTTTAAAAGTCCAATAATGGCCTTGATAACCAGAATTGGGTTCGGGGGTCGGTTACGTGTAAGGAAGGTATTAAGCACCCCTACAGCGCCCTCAATCGGTACCCTATGAGGAATTTAATGTGATAATAATTAATAAATTAAATATTAGATCCCCTTTATTAATATTTATTTACATGCTTAAAATTTAAATTATACAATTGACTCTAAAATATCTACATGATTGTTTTTCTTATAACAATGTCTATTAAAGATGAGAGATAAAAGTTAGAGAAGAAGATAAAGATGAGAAATAAAAGATAGAGAAGAAGATTGATTGAAATACCTTGTAGTAAGCTTTGTTATATCTTCAAATATGAAAAATATTGGTGCTTTGTGGCAACCTTTTACACTACAATTGCCTTACAAAACTCAAGAAATACAATAGGAAGGAGATGGCGAGCCGAGCTAGCTGGTCGGCTCGCTCATTGTTGTTTCGCAGGACGTGCCGTACTTGAACTTCACTAAAGCCATCCTTGAGTCCCTGAAATAAGTGATAGTATTGCAACAGGTTTGAGTCCTTGACTTGGAAATTATCGTTGACCTGTTCGGCCACGATCTTCGAGTCGGTCCAACATATGACTTTTTTCACACCCATTTCGGTTGCTAACCGCATCCCGGCTAGTAAGGCTTCGTATTCCGCTTGATTGTTGGATGCTCGGAAGCCAAAACGAAGGGACTGCTCAATCCCCAAACTTTTACAAATGGTTCCTATTTATAAGCTTAGATGGGCAAGATGACATAAATTCCCACTAACACTTAATATTGACTCTTCACTAGCCCACTAACTAAGCAATAAATTCCCACTAGCATTTATTTCCCCTTAGCAACCTAAAAGGCAAGGCAACCTATCATATTTATTTAATAAAATAAAATAAAACGAAAATTACATTAAAAATAAGATAATGAACTTATTAATTATTCAGTCCCAAACTACTTAAATTCCTAGTCCATTATTGCTTCTTCTTGATTCACATCACTATATTTTTCTTCCTTTTTTATTTCTTTATTTGTATTTTATTTTTTTTTCCTCTCTCATAAGTTCTTCCTATCTATTTGTATTTTCTTCCTCATTGTCGCAACCCAAAAATTTCTGATCCTGCAATCTATGGTTTAGACATCCTTTTAAAGATCTCATCAATTAAGGAATACCCAGACACCAGACTAATCCTTAATTAATGGTTTTGAAAAATGAGTTCATGGAGTCGCCACCAATGTTTTACTCAAAACATTGGAAGGTATTAGACATTGTTTTTAAAAGTCCAATAATGGCCTTGATAACCAGAATTGGGTTCGGGGGTCGGTTACGTGTAAGGAAGGTATTAAGCACCCCTACAGCGCCCTCAATCGGTACCCTATGAGGAATTTAATGTGATAATAATTAATAAATTAGGAGCCTGTTACGCGAAAGGAAGCACTTATGGCGTCGAACATTCTTCACAATTTTATGATACAATACAAAAATACAACACCTGAACTATTGAATGCAATAAGAAAAGTTAGAGATGAGCTCCAAACAGACTTGAACTTTAAAGGAAAACAGACAACTATTGAATCATATTTCAATAGAGTGTAATATATTTTTTTCAGTTTCTACGAATTATTAATTTATGATTTTCTTGGGACCGAAAATTATAAAGGGATCTTCCGAAAAATTATTATCTTATTATTTTATCGAGTTTTTCAATTTTTTACATTGGCCCAAGTCGGGACCGGACAAATTTATTATTTTAGAGAGTTTATTAATTTACCGAGTATTAATTTAAAGAATTTCTGCTGTATTATCAATCAAAATCTAAAAGTTTTTCAAAAGAACTCGAGTCAATGAAAACCCCCTACTTAGAAAAAGAAAACTTTCAACATCGCCGGCAACAAACAAAGACGAATGTCTCAATTTCCTCACTTGGAGAACACTGAGATGTCGATTGATCAACTCACTCCAAATTCAATCATTTTATGAGAAGACCAATAGATTAAAACACACAACATAAATATAATCTTTAGCTTTCTGAAATGCAAAAGTTTTATAAATTACGACCCAATAATAGAAAATTCTAAGAGATAACAAATTTCCATTTAACATCCAATAAACATAAAATCAACCAATTCATAGATTTTGATCCAACCATTCACTACAGTCAATAGATAATCTAACAAAACAGTAAAGAAATAGCCACTCAAAATTTCTAAGCAACGAAACGATCCATAAATTTGGATCTACATAGTCTAAAAAAGCGACATAAAAACAATGCTTAACTTGAACAAGGTGAAACCAGGGTTGGTGTGTAATCCATATCAAAGATGTGTCTTATGTCGGCGGAAATCTTAACATACTCTTGTTGATTATCTCTTTGATTGTACAATAGTGCATACTTTCCATATTTTGACATTATGAGAATACCACCATTCGGAGTCAAGCGCAACATTGGAGAGTTAATATTTAGATAATTAGTTTCAATTCTAAATAACTGAGTCCATGAATTCTGATATCCCAACTCCTTCATTTGCCATGCAACAAAATGGGTCATGGAGTTATAAGAGAAGGATAAAGAATCATTAAAAGTCCCCAAATTCTCTAGCATTGGACCAACAACATCATGATAAGGAGGCAACATGAAATGTGTAAATGTCTCGTTGGTTAGATCAAGTGAAATACCCAGATATTGATTCTCACGAGAGGGGTGAAATGTTAACCAACTAAGAGTACCCCTCAAATATAAACCATATGGGGTTATCAAATGGAGGCAGGTAATAGGCAATTGAATGTTTCTCCAACGAGCATCACCCATGTTACAAACTTTCACCCGGACTAAAAAAGAACTATTTATACAATGATCACTGTAAATAGGTACTACCACCTTGTAAGTGTCTGATAAGCGATCATAGCCAAAACCAAACGTAGAAACAAAGTGATAATGAAGTAATAGTGGGGGAGAATGTTTGGCTGTTAACCCAGTAACTGGGTTCCACAAATAGAACACATATTTTTCACGTGAAGGACTACTGATTGCATAACAAATCAACCCATTGCAGGAACCAATGATGCGATGTTCATGGGATGGATGAACGACGAGAGTGGCGGATGATGATGGGTTCTCCATAGAAGAGCGGAAAAGAGGAATGTGATGTACCAAAGAGTCCCTCATCTCACACAAGAGGTTGGCATTTACGTGTGATCTTGACCTCTCCAGTTGCAATTTCACAAGACTTGGATTTGAGATTAAGGATTTGATCAAGGATCTTAAGGATTTGGATGCGCACATGAACCGAACAAGAGATTTCACCGGAAGCCATGGTAGAATTTCTGCAATGAGGTCGTTGCAGAGGATTCGTGGTGGCGCTATATTATTTTTGAGGTCAAGTAATGAATAAGGCAGAGCCATGTTGATGTTGGTTGAGGGGATTCTTATTCTTATATTCTTATATTTGAGAATATCGTCAACAGAATAATGAGAGTATCAAAATAGATAATTGGAAAATGTTTGAGATCAGTCGGCTACTGATTTTATGGTAATCAAATATCTTTATAGTATATAAAAAAGTTAATTTTTTTTTTTTTTTTTTTTAAATTTCGTTTCTCTTAAAAATCAATTTTTAAAATCAAATTGGTATTTTATATAAGAGTAATTTTAGAGATTTTTCTTACAAATGATTTTTGTAAATTCTTTTAACTGATTCCATTTTTATTTATCATAATTGTTGCCTAAATTTTTTATTTAATTCAATTTTTTTATTTATCACTTATAATTATAAATTAAATTTTAATATTTTTAAAACAAATTATTAATAATTTAAAATAATATTGTATTATAATATAAATTATTTATCTTAAATCTAAAATATTATTTATATTTAAAAATATCTATTTATACAAATTTTAAATATAATTTATATATTTAAATAAAATATTTATTTATAAATAATTTATTATAAATTTTAGTTATATATAATACATTTAAAAGCACATGTTAAAATACTGGTACTTATAAAAAAAAATTATCCAAACAAATTAGCATCTATCTTTTTATATAACCACGAGCTGAGGACGTTGGTAGAAATATTTGAGAATTAGATAGTTCAATTTTATTGTCCAAGGTACCAAGCTCTTGCATAGACTGTTTATAACTGGGTAGCGATTATCTTTTAGCCCTGTGCTTTGAAGTAGATGTTTCATCATTTTCGTGGTTTATATGAATGGTGATGCAACAAATTAGGAGAGAAGAATCTCATCACAGAAGACTTTTGAAACGAAAATCACAATAAGATTATTTCAACTGCTTACGTATTGAAGGACTACAAGCCCAGTCAGATGATGCGCAAGGAGATTAGATGCATTTCTTACGATTGATATCATACTATGACAGAGAACATACGGACCTTACAACATTGTGCATCAAATGACCAGGTTGATAATAGAGCAAGCTAACAAACCAGCCTCAGTGACTTTCCTTTTCAATGGAAAACCAACCACACTGATTGATCTGTCATTCGCAATGAATCTTCGTCGAATTATGTTGCTTTCTCAAAACCACCATCTATCTGCATATGCAACCATGCAGGTTGTGATCCTTGATCATATCCCCTGGCCGGTTGTGATCCAAATATTATTCCTGCAAGGTCAAATGGCTGAGTGCCAACCTGACACAACAAACAGCTGATCAAAATCACAGTATTATGAAAACAAACAGTCCTTAAAAACAATGACGTGTTATAGGTTCAGGCAACAATACCAAGTCTGAAGAACATATTGTCCTAAGAACATTATCACACACTATTATTCAATGAATCCATGCGGGACTTAGTCCTGATTTATTGCAACCTACATTACATGAATTTGACTCAATCATAAAGAATGTGTTGAGAAGAGTGAGTATAGTGTGTAACTAGCACTCTTCTTGTCCCAATTGAGATTACTTCTTTGATAAAACACTTCAAATCTTCCAAAATGGTAGGAGGGTTCATTAAAATATTAAAGTAGTCTTTGGAGTTGAGTTACTAGATTACTTTCAACGACTAAAAAAAGTCATTTTGCACTTGCACCTAGTGCTATGTTTGTAGAATCAATTTGAAGCTAAAATTATTAAATTCATTATTGACTCACATTACTTGCATAGAAAATTTAATTTTGCTGTGACATGGAAAAGCATTTGGCATCATCATCGATTGACCTTCTTTTGGGCATAATTCATTTTGCAGTTAATAAAACAGGAAAACTAATTTTATATTTCTCATAATCTTTTAAAAAACTCATGCCATTATACCATAAATAAGTAACGTGCTAACGTGTACAAGAATATCTAAATTCTTTTGGGAGAGAAAATCTCATGAATGATGCAGAAAATTATGCAGCAAGCATACATAAGAATGGACAGTAAAAAGCCAAAGATATTATAACTTATGAGCAGCAGCAGAAAAACACGAATCCCAAGGAAGTTAATAATTAGTAAACCAAGATGCAGCACCGGATAAACATGAATCCCAAGTAAGTAGGCAATTAGTAAACCAAGATGAAGAGAACTGGAGTGCAAGATTATAAAAGTTTACAGAACATCCCCTAGAATCAGGTAAATATACTTTGCAACCGGGTTCATTTGAGCTGAGGATTCATTCATCACTGCACACTGATGCATGTAGATCACTGTATAGTAACAGTGATAATTTACCTTTACATGAAACCAATCTGGATACTTATCAACTAGGTCAAAGGATTCTGGGTTCACAGAATTCACAAAAAGATTCAACTCATTTTCTTAAGCCACTGCTACTTCCGTTACTAGACACCCCAAAAAGTTTGCAGTGTCTCAATAACTAACAATAACTGCCACCCCTGCTTGATTTAGACATTCAAAATCTCAATTTCAAATTGATCAATATTTCCCATCAACTTATTTTGGTCGGAAAATGAATTTTACCATATCATTTCAATTTTTATCAATCTTACTATTTTTTCCCACTAGCTTGCATCGGTGTACACCAAACTGTTGTATAAAAGAGTCAGACACTCAGTTTTAATCGTTAAGCCTCCTTCCCAAACAAGCACGGTGCATTTTCCCGGGTGTTCCACAACGCCAACCCCACCCCCCACGTAAATTTTGCTCAACATATTCTAAATGGAATGAATGGCTTTGGCTTAGATTAACATATTTGAGTCAATAGACTTACTTCTTTTGAAGGAAAACATTCAATAGCAGGGCTCAAGTTCAATCTCGAATTAACTGCCTCAAGCTTCATTGAAAGGAACTGAAAAAAAAAAAAAAAAAAAAAACAGAATCAAGTTATTTTGCATAAAATTAGTACGCATTTGGATTCACATCGAATCATTCAAAATCACGGTGAGTAACAATTGAATTAAATACATTTTTAGTCTATAAATTCTTTGTCGAATTTTATTTTTAATTTATAAATAAATTTTATTTAGTCTTATTTTCTAAAAGTTTTTTCCATGAGCAAAAAAAATTTTGACGCTAAAAACCAAAAATGTTAATTAGAAAAAAAATTCAGGAATTAAAAGCATAAAAAAAAAGCTCGTATTAAAACTGTTAAGAAAATTATTTAGAAAGTAAAAGTTAAAAAATAAAAAAAAAAAAGTATATAAAATTTTAATGTTAAATTATTATTAAAATATAAAGCAGTTCATTCTAAACCAAAATTAATTGGAAATAGACGGTTAGAGATAGAAAGAGGAAGAAACAGACCTCAATCTGACGCTGCAGTGACTGGATATAATTAATTATCTCATCGAGGACAAGTGCTTTACCAATTACCTGAACGCAGAATGATAAAAATAAAATAAAAATGGAAAATAATAATATAGTTGCATGAGCATAATAGTTACCTTGTTGCAGCCAGGGACTAAATCTTGAAGAATTTTCATCCTCTCACTGATTTTTTCTCTTCTAGCCTGCGAAAACAAGTGTTGTGAAGATTGAAGAGAAGAAGAGAGAGCGAAATATGAATTACTAAGAACTTACTCTCTCGGCGAGGCTGTGGCTATCGGTGGCTTGGCCCCTTCTAGCTCGCACGTGTATATAGTCTTGCTTTGGCTTAGCAGGTGACTTGTTACCGGCTAGGGAAGTGGCATCAGGTTGAGAGTGAGGCCAAATCTCGGACAGGGAAGGGTTAGCCGAAGAGAATGTGGAGTCATTGATGAGGGGAGCTTCCATTGAGTTTAAGATTCAACTTCATTCACTTACATATGCCAATAGTTTAGGTTTTATGCACTCAGCCTGAGTGTTGTGTGTTGCCAATTCAGAGATACATCACAATGACAATGACACAGTCAGAGGTTAGTTTTCTCTTCTTTTCGCCCTCACTCTCCCTCTTTCACTTAATAATTCATCATATATAATTTTCTCTTATTTTTAATTGCTTTTGGATATAATAATTTTTTTATTTATTATTTTTGCTATCAGAAATTATTCCTCAATTAAATGAGAAAATGTTTTGACAAAAGTCAAAATGTAAAAAAAAAATAAAAAATGAAAGAGCAAATTAAGAAAAGGGAATGACACGTGTCAAGTAACTAAAGGCAAGACATGAAAGGAGAGAACAGAACCGTCCATATTGTTGTGTTGAGAAAAATTGTAACGCAAAATGGAATGAGCCTCCTATGATATCAGTGCTTCTTCCTTTTGGACTTGAATTCATTATCCTTCATTCACTTCCAACCATACCAGTTGTCAAAAGACTCACGGCCAGGTCCAAGGTTCCATATTGTGCTTAACACAGACCTAAACTTTTTTTTTTCAAAATATTATTAGTCGCTTACATATCAATCAATTGGATAGAAATGAAATGAATAGACCCTTTTCTTGATTCTTCTTGTTATATTCATATTCCTACTGTCTATGGTTAATGCCTAGCAGCAGAGTGCTATCTTTCATGCCCAAAAATATATACACAACAAAATGAATAAACAAAAAGTGGACAAATTTCTACTTTCCTTATCGCTGTATATATATTAATCTCCTGAATTAACATTATTAGTAATAATATTATGAGAGTGTGATTCTTAATAATGCAATGTTCATATGATAATATCAACCGACTTTATTATCATAGTAGAGCTTTCATTTCCTCACAATTTAGGACATTCTTAAAGGAGATAAAAATTGTAAAATCTGATGCCAAAATTCGGACCCTATCAAAAAATTCAAATAATTTTCTCTCCGCTACATTTATGAGAGATGCAACAAATATGATGGCCCTTTTAGTTCGCAAAGCTCACAATTAATCATTAATCAACAAATCTTCAAAAGAACACAAACAAAATAAAATATCGGATTTGCATCCTTACAATTAATTGATTGTACCGCATAAAAAAAATTACGTAGTTGTGGAAAGAAAATTTTTAATTAATGGTAGAGGGGCTACTTCAATATAAAATGATGGGGTAATATCTCATAAACTAAAAAGAAATTCAAGACATGAAAAAATGATGTGCACCCTCTTTATGCTGCAAAAATAATCAGCCAGTAGAGAATTAGATTAGATTCTACCACAACTCATTGTCGTTTATCTTTGTATTGTTTTCCAGATGATTTGAGACAAAAAGCTAATCGAAAATGAAAAATCTAACCATTAAATTGGTTCTGCTTTAACCATCAATTCATCTTTGCTGGTGTTTGAACCCCATTTTTTTTTTTTCATGTTACTTTGTTAAATATCAGTAATTCCCATTCAAACGGCAATGAATTTACACTTGTTTATATACTTTGTCATGCAGTACTTTAGGGAAGTTGATCTAACTAAATTTTGCTGTTAGGATAACGTATGTACTCTAATTTTTATTTTTTTATTTAGAAAAATGAAAAGCAGATAAGTTATTTATATTCTCTTGATTAATTAATAACCTGACATAAAGGTGTTGATATATAAAAGTCATTCACCACACACTGTCTAGATTAATTGATGTGAGATTATTATAATTTAATTAATGATTTTAAAGTTTAGTATTTGATATGTAATTATATTAAATAAGGAGAAAATAATTAGATTAACTGATGTGAGATTATTATAATTTAATTAATTAAGGATATCAAGTTTGAGTACTAAATATGTAATTATATGAAATATAGAGAAGAAAAATATATTTTAAATTCTAAAACTTATTTTGGTTGACAATGAGAGTTCATTTAAGAAAAAAAAACTCTTAAAGAATATTAAATATTTTAAATTCGTTGATTATCATTATTTTTTAACCAAAATTTTATATTAATATAAGGTAAAACGATCAGAACAAATTACTAATTTTTAAATTTTTTTTTTTGATGAGATTACAAATCATTTATTCAATCTCTAATGTACGAGTATACAAAGAAATATATAAATGAAAAAATTAATCCCAAATTTTATGTAATAGTGGTAAATCGACTTAACTAAATATGTTATTCTAATATAATCATTTATTACCATTTAATAAATTTAATAGACCTTAATCAGTTATATCTCCACTGCAATAATATTGATAATGATCAATAATAATATTTTTTTTATAAATTGTATTTTCTATCCTTGAAAATATTTGGAAAATAAATTTTAGTATTTATAAAAGCTCAATATGTATTTGTTAGTTTATATATTCCAATAAAAATACATGTTTTTTTATTCTTGATAACTAATAGGAGACCCATAATAAGTAACTTTGAGCCTCACCCATGTAACCATTGAATCAGATTGTAAATCTGTCGTTGACGCTCTATTTAGGACTCAATCACATCAATTGGAATATGGGTCTCTTCTTAATAAGTGTAGAAGATTGCTACACAATCATCCGAACTTATCACTAAAGTTCATTTCGAGGCAAGCCAATCGAGTCGCTCACTATTTAACTAGGGTGTCACGACCGTTATGCTAGCTCTCACACTTTTGAATTTATTCTCTCATATATTATTCCAATTATTTTGAATGAAATGACAATCTTATTCTCCTAAAAAAAATAAAAATAAAATAGGGAACCCATAATAATAGGTTTTTTTTTTGGTAAAAATGTGTTTTTTATCCCTTAAAAATACTTGGAAAATCAATTTAGTTTTATAATTTAATATGTATTTTGTTAGATTATATATTCCAATAAAAATACACGTTTTTAATTCTTGATAACTAACAGGGGACTAAAATGATACCATTTTTAGGAAACCGTAAGAATAAAAAATTTAAAACTTTTTATGTGGAATAAAAATGATTTTAAAGATACTATGAGAAAAAAAATATTTCATCCAAATTTTTTTATTTACTTTTCATAGAGACCTATCGATCTGTCTGACGCGGGTGGTGTTCTCAAATTATTGAAGGATCAAATCTATTACAAATGCTCTAATCATTTTTTTATGAAAGGATCAAATCAACCTATCCAGCTCTGCCAGTTTGGTTGATTGGATGTTATAAGACAATAGTTCACAATTAAAATAAAATGTTATGCGACAATATGCACTTTACGCAACCACTTAATTAAAGTTATTAACCATTGAGTACACCATCTTATATATCTAAAGTTTAAATTCTATTGGGACCAAATCCAAGTGAGATATAATTTGTGAGAAGAGGATAGATCATCTTAATTTGCAACTTTCGAACTTTATATATGGCCTATTATATGATAATGATTTTCTATAAGAAAATGATCGAGAATGATTAATCATAATTCATTAATTAAAATTAATGACTATACAATAATTTAGCTCATTTAAGTTAATTTACCATGTATATAAGTTATTGTGGACTCTTTTAGTATTAAGTTTGATTTTTATAAATAAAAAATTAAATAAATAACTTAAATTAAAAAATTCACTTAAAATTAAAAATACTAATATTATTATTTTTGTTATCATATCATTATTATTACTATTATTATTATTCATATTATCATTATCATTCAAGAAAATTAAAAAATAAATATTTATATATTATTACTGTTATTATTATTATAATAATCAACTTTTTTATCGTTATTATAACAATTATTATTATTATCATTAATAATAATGATAACATGAACAATAGTGATAACGTGTGTTTTAGATTTTAATTTTTAAATAAATTGTTTAATATAAAAATATGTTTGAATAAATAATATTTTATTTAGAAAAATCTTTAAAAATATTTCTAACTTATATTCACAATAAAATATTATAACTTATCTTTTTAAAAAAAGAAAACAATGTTTCCATTAACAACTTCTAAAATTCAATTTAGTATAAATATATATTTTTTTAAAAAGAAGGTTATTTAATAATGTTTTTATATAAATTTACAATATATTTCTTTGAATTTAGTTAAAATATATGAATAGTTAAATATCCGTACATTGGCAATCAAATCATAAACTGTCATATATAATAAAACTAATTATTTTAAAAATCATATTTTCTATAATTTTAATTTTTTAGCACATGCATCATGATTTCAACCAAAATTCATCTAAACCCATTCATTTTCAACCCCTCATCATGATAATCCATCTTTTATGTGTTTCAAAATGTGGGTTGCTATAAAACTGATTTATAAAGTAAAATTGTCTTTAATTTATATATTATATGCCAGTGGTATCTGTAATGGAGCAAGATTTAAGTTTGGAAACCTATTATTGAGTTGAAGTGGGAAAGAAATTGGCAAGGCATGGTGTTAAGGACAGCGAAGGAAGTTGGTGGCAGTGATAAATGCTACCCTCATTATCAAATGTCAAGCTTTTCACACAATCAAAAAGAAGTTTCCAGCTTCAGTGTAGCATTATTGCCTAACTAGTCAATTATGAAGAAAATTACCTACGAAACCATCACTCGCCATTGCCTAACTTGCTTAGCCCAAAAGTGATAATGAGCCAAGCATAATTAAACAAACCCCAGAAAGTATCTGTTTGCCATGCCCACAAATAGATTTTCAATTTCATGGCCCCCCAAGTTATTTCCACTGGGTTTTCCGTCTTCATTGGAACTATGCTCTTTGGATTGGATCGTGAAGCTCCCTAAGTCACAAGTCCATACTTTTCCAGCACATGTTTTAGCAACAAAAGTGATGGACTACCCATGCTTAATGCCACTTTCCACGCTTACATCAAATGAGAAGATGTTGGTGCTTTAGTTTGTTTAGTTCAGCTTAAAAGTCTTTACACGAATTTTTTTCCTTGCCATGCGTTATCTTATTATACTATATTAGAGACTAATTTTGTTTGTAATAATATAATTATTACTTGTTTGACAAATTTTTACATATGTCATAAACTTTCGTTGACTAAATTATCCATATTAATTTGTGAGCACAAAAATCTTAACTACTACACCAAATTATTAAGTTTCTTTGGAAGAATTTACTTAAATTTATAAAATAT